CCCGCCCCGCTGCTGAGCGCGGCCTGGGCCTGCAGCGCTGGATTGCTGCTCCCCAGCTCCGCCAGCCCGGCCCGCCTCTCCCTGCAGCCCTGCCGCAGGGCAGCCCCTCTCCCCCGCAGCGTCCTGCGGAGCCACACGCTCTGCCACACGGGGAGGGACACGGGGAACGAGGCCTGCATGCCAACGCGTGTGCAGGCGCTGGTCACCCTCTCAAATCGGTGGCATCAAAGAAACGGCTGCGAGCCCTGCAGGACCTACACCTTTCTCCCCAGCTGGCAGGTGCAGAAGGTCACGACTCAGCATACTCACCTGTGCCTTCAGAAGAACACACACCGCTGTGTCCCCCCAAAAAAGCCAGCCCCCTGGGACAGAGAAGAGCCACTCTGCTAGCTCGGACCGAATGCTTCTACCCAGCAAAACTCCTGCCACCTTCTGTTGTTTCCCTGCCTTATCTCTAGGATATGCTGCTTGCCCTTTTTGTGACTGCATCAGTTAATGTTAATTGAGTGTTTTAAAGCCTTTGTCTTGTTGCAGAATCTCTCTCAAAAGATACAAGAGGACAAACAGGCTAGGAAAAGAAAAAGACAACAGATAAGAAAGGCAGTCCAGGTAGCAGCTGGCAGTATTAGTGGTTATGTCTCCTACCGCTAATTGGAAGGGTGCCACTTGCGAATTACCAGACAGAATATTGGCACCTGGTGAATCAGCCATAGCATTTCCCATAGGATATTGGGCTTTCAAAGGCTGTCCTTTTTCCAAATGCTTACAAGGGCTGATTCTGCTTGTGTTTGGAAGTATAATGAATGCATAATCCATAGTTGCATTTTAAGGCCAAAGTGTAAAACTCGTGTCTGAAGAAAAGGATTTAGAATGCCAGAAAGGTCTGGAGATGGATAGGGAATGCCTAGAGCTACAATACTAAGGATTAAGAAGGGAAAAAAAAAAAAAAAAAAGCTCTAACAGAAAGACCATTAATCTCCAAATTTCAGGGCATACACCAGCCTCTAAGAAACTGGAAGTAGTTTCCCAAAGTTTCTTATCTCTGACTATGTTCTGTCACCTTCCTTGGAATGAGAAACTGGTAATAGCTAGTGGCCAGGGTTGTCAGTGAACGGTGATGCTGTAAGTGAAGGCTCAAAATGAAGTGATGATGAATTGTTCCCTACCTACGTGCTTCCTCTTAATTCTGTGATGTGCTTAGTGGAAATGAGCATGGGGGTCAGTTTCTGTCTATTCAAGTCTTTGATTTCTTTTTCCTGGGGAGGAAAACAACAAGAAGGACTGTGATGGTGTTTGAGATATTTTTAATGTAGAAGCGATGTACCAGAGATCATGTGGACCTGTGGAATGCTAAAAGATGAATATATATCTATTCATAGTAAATAATTAATTGCTTATTTTCAGGAAGCCACTGATGAAACTGAATTAATTTTTAATTTTAGATTATTTTCTAGCTATATGCATCATCAACTCACTAGTTAATTTCTCTGTGGTCTCTACAGGAAGCCCTTTGCAGCTGAAATCTTCATCAGAGCTACAGTGTTTTCATAGATGCTGATGTCACTGAATCAAGATTTGCATTTATTTGTGTTTCACTCGCTGTCCAACGTCTTCAAGCAAAATGGATTCTGTGCTGCTAAACGCTTTTTCCCAGTACTTATGTCAGCAGAGTGAGAGAAACAAAGGTCATATTCAGGCTCTCTAGAGCATCTTCAGATCTTCCTATAAGATTATGCAGATGGAAAAACGAGTAAGCCACGATGAATCTTCCTCAGCAAATGTATGTCAGAGTACCATGAGTCAGCTTGCTGACACTTTTCATGTGAGGCCCTCCATCTCCAAATGAAGAAGAGTCCATCATTTCTTGTCTCTGTTGTCCGTAGTAAGCACATAATACACAGTAACCATGTCCTGCTGGAAGTCAGTCACTGAATGCTCTTTGCGCAGGGAGGAGGTCGCATTTAATCATACACTTTGGGCTCCCCTGCAAGGCAAGTGGCCTAGAATGTCAGAAGATCTGGAAGTCCAGTTACAGAGTAGGGGTTATGGTGAAGAAACCTCCTATCTTCTGCCACAAAGAGGAAACTAAGCTTTCTATGGTCACGCTTACAGCTCATAAGTCCTTGCCATGTCCTGGCTTTTGAAAGCCAGCAGCCTTCTACACTGGTAGAAGCTACCTAGGACTCAGCTCTGATGATCCCCTGCACAGCTCAAGCCTTTTCCAGCTGGAAGTGAGAAGGATCCTATGCAGATCTGGTATCTGCAGGATGCAGTGGTTATATAAGATGCAGTGGCAGATATGCAGCGTGCTTTTGTGACTCTCACCTGGCAGTGCTACTGACCTTTTGCATTATGTGAATGCAGATTATATCCCAGGATATATCCACAGCTCTGCACGCAGCCATGAAGTGGGTAATCAAAGCCAAGCTACTCAAGATACCCAAAGTAATAGAGTTGTATTAGTACAATTCTCTGCCTAGGCTAGTAAGCAGAGTTAAGGAGCAGCATATTCTTGCCTTCAGAGATCTCCATGTTACTATGGCTCTGCTCCTCCCAGTAGCTAAGGAAGGCAATGTGGTGCTAGTTTAAATCTCTTTCCATAGCATATAGCTATATTGCCCATGTGCACACGAGCCCTGTCACTCTAGTCTTTGAGATCCTAAAAAAGAACCAAATGTACAGTGGAAAAGTATGAGACAAAGGCATGTTCGACTGTGAGATAATCCCATGTATTTGCTTTTAGTCATTATCACTCATGTATTACCTGTGCTTTGGCCATTTTAACAATATGCTTGGTTAAGATCTCATTGTGTGCTGCAGACGCTGGACAGTGTGGAGCAAAGAGATGGGCTGTGTCCCTGAGAACTTCAAGATAAATTACAAAATACTAAGAAATGCCTTCTAATGACAGGAAAAACACCTGGTTCCATGGTTCAAAAATGGTGTTTAGCCGGATTTTTCAAAACTACTCTTTTCCCAGAAGCACCCCCATGGCTGGACTGACCAGACTTGCAAAAGAAGCTTGGGCTTGGTTTTCCTCAGGAAGGTCTGTACGTGTGTCATGGTTTAACCCCAGCCAGCAGCTAAGCACCATGCAGCCACTCACTCACTCACTACCCCCCCTACCCAGTGGGATGGGGGAGGGAATTGGAAGGAAAAAGGTAAAACTTGTGGGTTGGGATAAGAACAGATTAATAGAACAGAAAGGAAGAAACTAATAATGATAATAACAATATTAAAATGACAATAGTAATAATAAAAGGATTGGAATATACAAAACAAGTGATGCACAATGCAATTGCTTACCACTCGCTGACCGATGCCCAGTTAGTTCCTGAGCAGCGATCCACCCAGGCCAACTCCCCCGAGTTTATATACTGGTCATGATATCACATGGTATGGAATATCCCTTTGGCCAGTTTGGGTCAGGTATCCTGGCTGTGTCCCCTCCCAACTTCTTGTGCCCCTCCAGCCTTCTTGTGGGCTGGGCATCAGAAGCTGAAAAATCCTTGACTTAGTCTAAACACTACTTAGCAACAACTGAAAACATCAGCGTGTTATCAACATTCTTCTCATGCTGAACCCATAACATAACACTATACCAGCTACTAGAAAGAAAATTAACTCTAACCTAGCCTAAACCAGGACAACGTGTGACTACCCTTATGTAGGACAAATTGCTCAAAAAACTTGACGTGAAGGGGGCTATAGCTGAGACATGGGCTCACCAGCACCTTTTTGACACCTGATACCAGAGGAAGGTGCCCTTCCTTCCCTCTCCCAGAGGGCAGCAAGACGGACAAGCAAGGCCCTTGTCAGGGTTTGTTTTCAGTTTTGGTTTTCTAGACTGTAACCACATCATTGATGATAGGGTGGCATCTGTCATTTTTAGCCTGATTACACAGTGAGTTACCAGAGGCTAGCAGAGTGCTCAGTGAAGTCGTTCCTGAGCAGGTGCTCCTTTCTGCAGCCTCCCTGCACGACCTTGCTGAACAAAGGCAAAGCACTGCAAAGCACAGTGACGATGGGTGCTGCTGAGTGCGGGGATTACAGAGTTAGGGAGAAAAACCCTCTGGAGTGGGAGCTGTGAATAAAGCTAGCATCTATTCAGCCCCGTCTGTTCAACATAACCTTACATCATTTATTCTGTAAAGAACAGTTGAAGCAAAAGTAAAGTCTTGAGATCCATGCCAGGATAGAAATAGGAGACAAGAGTCTTTGGCCTTGCTGAGACACACTTTCTGCAAAGACAGATGAAAAGCAAAAATCCCTTTAACTGCTTTCAATCTGCCATAATCTTCTCATCTCCCTGCAGAATTGCAAAGGCAATTGAAGAGGGTACCAGGAATGTGGAACAGGTATTCTGGGTCAGATCAAGGTCCTTTTAACCCAGTAGCTTATTTCTGACAGAAGTTAGTTGGGGATTCTTAAAGAAAGGGCAGAAAGAGTATAGTGCCCCTTCCTCTGGTAAACTCCCCCAGTTTCTATTAATTTGCAGACTAGGTACTTCCTGAGACAGTGGTTTTATCTTTAAGTATTCAGTAATACCTGACATTTTTCTTCTGTGAGTGTATCTAATTATTTTTGAACCTTTGTATGCTTTTGACCTTCACAACCATCCTATGGCAGCAAGTTCCATAGCTGAGTTGCACACAAACAAAACAAAATACTTTTTTGTACTGTTTTAGCTTCTTTTTGATTAGGTTTTTGATGCTACCTACTTTTTGTACTGTGAGAAACACTGCATAAGCATTCCCTATTTTCTCC